CCGATAAAATTCGGGCCAAAATTGATAATTGTTTATATGGATCAACTTCGATTTTGTTTGTGAAATACTGCATGACAGAAGCGAATTTGACTTGGAAAAGAAAATCTACAGAAACAACAGTTCAAGTAGGTATTCTAAAACACAGAAAGCTATCGTTCTCACCATGGCTTCGATCACATAATATATATCGTTTGAAGACGGACTGCATTGATCTTTCATCAATCAAAGCTTGCCAGCAATGTAAACAAATTGAAGATGTTTAGCCACGCTAGTCATCCTGTCGTTTATAGGCCAATGGTCTTGGATCTTATCATTTGAAAGGTAGATAAGATTTATATCTACATGTAAAAAATCGTAAAAATTGTTACTTTGTGTTATTATTAAGAGCGAACCCTTACTGTTATTTCAATCTAAGTTTATGTTACAATTAGCCATTTGCATTTGATAATATTCAACCCATTTTCATGTGCCGCTAAGAGATTTTATAAAACCTTCTGGTTCTTGAGGAAGGCTTAATAACGTGAAACATTGTTCAGTGAAATTACAAATAACTGTCGCTAACGACAATAGTAAAATGTATAAATCTACAAGATTTTTGCCAAAAAGTAACGAAATCAATTTTATTCAATTGGCAATTTGAATCAAGTGAATCTATTTTCCTTTAAAGTCCGTAATAATTTAAAATCGAACATTATTGCCACTCAGAAAAGTAAATTGTTTACTTGGCGTAAATAAAATAAATTAATTGAGTTTATTTACTATTCTATTTACTTATCATTAATTCTGCTACTTTATATGTGTACCTAATAACAAACTAACTAGAAAATTAATTATTTAACATCACACACATGTATTGCATAATTGTTTCACATCAATTTTCCAAAGTGCAGTTATACCATTAAACATTAGTCGATGCAAAACACTTGTTTTGAGAATCTGAAACAATGATCTAATTTAGCAACCCATATCTCATTTTTATGTGTGAATGCACAGTTTCGGGCTTGGAAAACAAAGAAACATAAAAAACGTTTTAACAACGACAATGGAATTACTATGCCAATACGTGTTAGACTAGCAGTACTTTAACTTGTTTTATTTCACTGTATGCAGGTTATCATTTCTAAGCAGCTCTAATATTCAATAAAATAGATGTATATCTTTAAAGTAATTGCGATATGGGTTTAAGCATTTTACCCGACGAATTGCTTGAGAAAACATGGTTGTTAGGTTCTGCAAAAAAAATCAATATTGATGGCCTATTATTTGGAAATAAAAAGTAGCACTTTCCGCCTGATTGAGAATGAAATTAGACCAGAGCGGCTATACAAGTAAATTGCCGTCTTGGTCAAAGAACGGGTGATACTGATTATTAATTTTACTTACCGTTACCCAAATATCGGTTATTTAGCATAATGGGAATACCTCGAACTAATCAATGTTAGACAGGCACTCTAATAGACTATTATTGCATAAAGGATAAAAAGTTTATTGTCCCAACTTAAGATTGCACTGTTAAAGGTAACAAGTAAGATATAATTTAGAAAATACTTATTTAAGGGAGTCTTCATGTTAATTTAAAGAATCTGTAAGGTTGAATAGTAATAATTACTAAAGTAACATCGCAAATATGTTGTACAACATTGGAAAGGAATGTAACTAAAACAACAATAAAACTAGGAAATCATGCGGAAAGTACGAATTTTGGGCTTTTAACTGCTCTGACTGACTTAACAGTTAACAAAAAGCTAATAAACTTTCCAAATTTCACGAATTCTGCGTATAAATTTATCTAAGCATTTTAATCAAACTGATATATTTTAAATTTTAAATCATCATCTAGCAGCTGCCCAATGAATACATATGTATGTTAGCCGTGAATATTGGATGAGGGTCATTTAAATTATCTTCACGTTCCATAGGTAGGAGGATTTTCGGCGACACAGATGGTTTGTTGAGTGACGTGAGAAATTATATTTGAAAATTTTTTTTTCCTGAGATTTACTCTGAAACCGAGCATGGGATTTTCATGTCTCTAATTAGTTTAGAATAGTTCTGGGTGCATGTCTGAATTAGTTCCTCATGTTCGCGGTTGAGATTGATTCTCATTAGATCTGCTCCGAAATCAAGTGGCCAAACTGAAACTACAACACTTTAATTGGGAGCTCATGAATATATTGCTGTAATTTATATAAAAAAAAACTTTAAATAAATTCTGTATTATTTCGTTGAAATGGAAATGTATACATATTTCTAGAACTAATATGAAATATATGAAATTTAATCATAAGGGGCTGCACGACGAGCTATTTTTTCAGAGACATCATAAAAATCAAGAATATTTCACCAAAAAATGGTACTATTGACATACTTGCTTCAAATGACATATTCTCGATAAACTGAAATAATAATAGACTTTTATGATTATTAATTTATACTTAATTAATTAGAGACCTAAATTGCACAAATGTTACCTGTGTAACCTCTGTTTAATATGAATAAAAAACAGACAGCTAATGAAGTAACATTCTGCGAGTTCAACTTCTTGAAGTTAATTTGAATAAACTGATTTCCATAAGATGTGGTTTAACAGACCGTATCTCCACTAAGCCCTATTTAACAGAAATATTTTTGGAAGCGTATTATTTTGAAAGCTGTGCATTTAAATATAGTTGAAACTATTTAAAGTGCTTTGAGGAGAAAAAGAAACGAGTTTCAGAGCGGTAAAAAATATTAGCTCACAGAAAGTCATCGACTGTTTCTAAAACCCAATTTAAGAAAAAACTATAATACACCTTACTATAATTAATTAAAGCAAATCATGCTTTCCCGATAAGCTCTTAGTGGCTGATTTGACAAAATATTAAATTTAGTTTTGTAATGAAAAATTTGGTAATCGCTAAGTACAAAGTCTATTGAACACAGAACGATAATTTATTTACGTAGCAAAGGTTTTCGATAATTACAGTCTGTTTAAATCAGTTTTGTTACCTTAAATTGATCGTACATTTTTAAACAATTGGCTTTGATCGATGATGAAGAAACTTAACCGCTATAGGAAACTTTGTGCTTTGTGTTGTGGAAATTGCTATTTTATACTACTTCTAAGGAAGAAATTCGTCAACTTAATTACTTTGTTAACAATTACTTTCAATGTAGCTTGGTTAATTTAGAGATGTTTTCACGTTTCCATATAGTGATAATGTCTACTAACGCACTTTGGTTCATGTTAATATTATGAAATAAACGATCGTCGTTCAAACCGTTTGATGATATTGATTCGATAAATCGTCCCCTTTGAACAGATGAACTAAGTCGGTTTATTTGCAGAAACAAAATTAGTCAAATTTGAATTTTTTAAAAGCCAATTACTTAAAATTACTATTATTTATTTTATTTATTATTGCATTGTTTTTGCATGTCTCGCTAATGTCACTTCAAAATTATATAAGCATCAAAGTAAATAAAGTATTTCTCATTCGTCAGCTTTCTTGGATTGGATGCAACTTTTCTACCATAATCAAAAAATCCATTTGTTATTTTACATTGGCATGATTCTTACCATTAGTAATCAAACACTTAAAGTGCCGTTGAGTGTTTGAACTGTTAATGTATTAATTATCACGTCATTGCGTAGCAAATTTATTTGATTATGTACCCTGAAACCAACCAATAATTCATTCCAGTCAACGTTCCGTAAAGTAAATATTCGTAAAGCATAACGTTCTATTGCTCTACGTAATTAGATTCCTTTTGGTTTCAAACTTACGGGATTACGTTATATAAGCAGAAATTTATTATCAATAATTTCTAAGCAGAAGGAAGAAAAACGATTTGATTAATGAAGGAAATTATAGTTTTTGTGTCTTTATATGTTTGTCTTGTTCTCTTATTAAACTTGATTTCAATTGATTTTCTGTCAGGCAGGACCATACAAGTACATACATGTTTATGTGTTAATAGTCTCACATTAATTGAAAGTATACACAAATTGCTTTGTTTTATTTCATCAAAAATATAATATTAAGTGGCAAAGAATTATTCAATGCCCTGCAAAATCAGTGCATTTTCTCAATTATTGGAAACGATTACACATCTATTCTAATGCCAATTAGTACAAACCGCCAAATGTAATAATACAACAAAAAGTTTTGAAATCAGCATTTTGTAACTAAATATTATTGCATTAAAAATTAAACTATTCTCTTAAGTATTCTAAGAACTAGAGAAATTAAACCACAATTTCGATAATTTATTGAGACTAATTTGTACTTCAGTATGACGGTATTTTAAATTGTCCAACATTGTAGCTTGACTATTGGCAACTGCAAGGCAAATTAATGTGCCTGAGTTTTTAAATACAATTGTATGGCTATATTTGGGCCACTTTAAGCTTCTATTAAGTTATCAATTAATTTCGACGGTAGGTGTAATACAAAGCGACCCGTTTTCTTCAACAATGGCTAATGACTTCAGTATAAGGACAATAGACTGTCTACTAAACGCATCTTAACCGTGATGAACAAAATGGTTTTGAATCACTTGAGCACGCCTTTTATTCTTCACAGACGAATATGGATTCTTACCATACTTTAACAAAGACAGTACGAAACATTTTCACCCAGTTTAAATCTTAAATGGAATTAAGTAGTCGTGGTATAGGCGAGTATTAGATAATTGACCTGAGATAATTTAAACAATACTTTTTAGCTGAGTAGTTGACCTATAATTGAGCGAAACTGGCTATGTCCATTTGTTTCATATGAAACATAAATAATTTAAATTGTCTAATGCCAGCATCTGCATAAAGTTGTTGTATAAGAAAAGCGTACCTACAGTAAATAAAACATAGAGTTTGACTTTGCAAAATATGTAAATTGATTATATTTGGACTTCAAGTAAAGTGTAAAGTTTTAAACTCCATTCGGTTTAAATTTGACGAATAATAAATATGTTTGCTTCGGAGGTTTGATAAATATAGGCATCTAACAAAAAATCGGCATGTCATAAAAGGTGTCAAAATTTAATCGCAGTTTTCAATTCATTTTGTGATCGTTAATTTGCTTTAGAATCTAGGCGTATTTTTTTAAATGCAAACACTGAGTCAAACTAAGTGCAGTAGAAAAACAGATTTAAAAAAATTCAAGGGAAGAATCAAGTGTAGAATGCAGTTAAGATCGATTTTCCACCTAACTGTATGTGGTTGCTTTGACGAAACGCGAAACGTAGATCTCGCATATTTATAGATTTTAATTACCAGTAATTGCTTTAATTGATCTTCTACAATACAGTAAATTACGAGAGAGAAATCATGCACAAACCCGTATTTTTCCATATATATTCTTAAAAAGCCTCCAATCTTATTGCAACCAAATGAGGCAAAAGAGAGCCAATCAACCGTAAATCTGTGGAAACATTGAATAAGGTAATTTAACAAATTAATTTCGTGTTTCAATTGTTCTGTTTGCCTTCTATATTATTTGCAATATTAAGTTGGGTAAATTTAAAAGACATTAAATATAAAAATGCAAAAAAAAAATAATTTTAGAGCCATATGATAATTAAGAAAACTTAGCATATCATTAGTTAAAAGCAATACATGTTGAGATACTCATTTGCTTATATTCTATAAAATAAGAGCAGGATATGAAACGTGAAGAAAATTAAGACAGCAGACAATTGAGTAGACAAATAGAACAAAGCAACTCCCCTACAGCTTCACAACTTTATATAATAATTTAAAATTCAACAAAAAGAACAACTTTTGCCTTTCTGACTGAAAATCCAAATCTCAGATTCAAAACGGCTCAAATGTATAAAATCTCTAAAACATTTTAATTGTACGTACCCCTTTTCGATATTGAGAATCATAGTCCCTTTAAATTCACGAGATAGTAAACAGAAGAATCCAAACCACAACACTACATCAACCTCGAAAACATCGCGTAATCGTAAACTCGCTTTCGACTTCGCCAAACACGAAGAAGATTCAGAAGCGACTGACGGAAAAATTCGTTCTTCACCACAGTGTTTCTGCCGACCGTCCGCCGCTGAAGACTTTTGTATTAAAGCGCTATACACACAGTGACCGCGAAGCAATGCTTTGACATAATGGTGAAGAACTAGCGTTGGCGGTTTTATGGAAAATTCGAAAAGCTACGAAATCGTTACAATTGAGTAATGTTCTCAATATCGAGTGGATCATTCACTTATAGATTATAACAACTAAATTCCTAGAAGCTTTTCCTTAGTTTAATTTAATTTCCAGTTATTAATTTAAAATCAAGTCTTTTGGGAAGCTGTGCACGGAAAAATGTTAGTAGAAACTAGCAATTAAATTTCAATTCAGCGGATGAGACAATTTTAGAACTTTTCTATTCCATTCATAAATTCTTCGCCGCTAACATTTTATATGATATCCTCTTGGGCAAGTCATCAGCTAGACCACATAATATATAATTTAAACATAAATTACCTATATTCAAAATAATTGAGCTGTTAGTCTTCAGTGCTCACTTAAAACTTAAAAGTCACTGCCGCGCTTCTAAAAAATTATTTCGTTTTATTCTTAGTTCCGTGTGGCTCCTCGATGCTGTGTGTTCTCATGCAAGCTATTAAATAAATATTTATGATGTGTTGATTAAATTTATGCAGTTATTCCACATATTAAAGTCAACTTGCTTAAAATGACTATATTTACTATTTAGCTCAGGACATGCAATGCAAACAGTAATAATGTGAGATCAATGTATTGTATGCATAGCAAATAGCAGTAAAAGACTTTTTGATTATTGAAATCACATCCAAGCTCAGCTCAATGTACAGTATTATAAAATACAAACATAATCATATTAAATGGTTTATAATGCAATAAAAGTGATTAGAATTATCTTTGAACATTATAAATTAAATATGAGTAAAATACTAAATATTTCAAAGCAAAAACCACATTCTTAATAAAAAAAACTTGTGATATAAGCGAAGATATATTTGCTGTGTGCCCCATTCTCTGAATTCAAACAAAGTTTTTTACATAACTGCATACTGCACCAGTAACGAACACTTTTCTTCGTACAATTAGAACAAACCGTCAGAATGGATATGTGGAAGCGAAGCAGCGTCAATTAAGAAAATTCCTGGATTAACGTAAAAAAGTCAACAGCTGACGAAGATTACTGAAGCGCCAATAAATCAGACCAAAAAAAGTTAAAAGCCATTAATTAGTTACCATACCATTCATTGATGTTAAAAAATAAACATTTGACCTGCAATATTTCATATGTTCAATATACATTTATTTTCAATAACAGACCCAATTTACATGACAAAATTAAGGTTTGTGGGAGAATTTTGATACGTAAGTTACTTGGAATACGGGAAAGCACAGTAGGTATATAATTCAACATTAAAGATTGATCACAGATTGACTCTCTAAATTGTTTCGTAATTAAAAGCAATTGCGTGTTTCGGTTTTTCAGTAATCAATAAATCCATATACAAAGGAATATGTAAATATATACATGCAAAAGCCAATTACTTAAGCGGACTAAATAAAATATCTTACACTTATTTGGAGGTGGCTTTAAAAAATGCTGTTTGTTGTTGAGTAATTGTTATTTTCTTCTGGTTAGCTTGTTAAAATTTAAAAAATAACTCTTCCTTTACGACTACGAACGATTCAACTTCACGCTTCTAATGAAATAAAATCCTTGAACCTAGTGTGTTTCCTCAACCGCGGTGGTCAGTAAACTATTTGAACAATTACGCACTAATTGCAAAACGAGTTCCTGTTTTCTTCTAGGGATATAACTACTTCGTAAATCTGGTAGGACTAGAAATTGAATCAAGCATCATTTGTTTATATCTTTTTTGGAATTTGCAATATGAAGAAATAGAGTTAACGTATTCGTAATAGTTGCTTCTTCCGTTGAAGTTCTTACAACAGTATGAAGAGCCAACAAGCAATTATTCACATTTTTTGGGCACCATTATTACCTATTATTATTAATATTATTTTTAAGTATGGGTACATGCACATGATTACAAATTTTGAAATTAAGTGTAGCCAAACGATTTGCTCTATCTATATAAAACTTAGAATCATTTATCTTATATGGTATATGTTAGAATTCATATGCTTGCAACTAATAATTAATTAATTTTCAAATTAATGACTTTGAATGAATTTGTTTGACTTAATTGAACAAAAATTGACAAATTTTACTGAATTGGTCTGCAGATACCTACACGGTAAAACGCAGAAAATTATCTAGCATTTTAAAGAACATTCTCTACGCTGCCCCATGGACAATGTTAAAAATGTTGAGGTACACATTTAAATAGTTATTTATAATTTGCTTTACCGGCTTTACACTGTTCAAAGCTCATGTCTATAAATGAACTACTCGTAAAACATAGTAAAGTTAATAAAATAAATATACCGCGATAAAAAAGTAATTCGAACTATATTATAATTCAAGCCTGCGCGCCGCGCCGATTTTAGAACTAGTAGACTTGTGATAGTATTACTTTTAATTTTTTTTTATTAAACTTTCTTTCTAATGCATATTAACCAGGTTTGTTTTTAATAGAGTTCAGAAAATGTTCAGAAAAAAAGGAAATGAAACCAAGGAAGAAAACTAAAGACATTAGAAAACAATTTCACAGACTTAGAGAGCGAACAAGCATGAAATATCAATTTCTTCTCAATTCTAAATTTCAAAAGTTTGCCAAATCCCATATAAAGCAAAAATATGTGATCTTATGTTCTTAAGCGCACAATAAATAGGACAAGATGCACACATTTTCAATAAAAATAATGCTTCTTTCTATCCAAAAGAAACAAAGATTATATAAAACATTTTAATACACAAAGGCCATCAAAGCTGATGCATTGAAAAACCCAAAGATATCAGGAGAATGGATCACGAATTCGTGAAAATATTTAATCGCTAAAATTAATATACTTAGAAAGATACTAATCTTCTATACAATATCAAAACGAACAAGCTTTAAAGAAGGTAATTTATTTGACAAGAACAAGTTTATTTTAGATTTTTCATGGTTATGGCTGTTTTGTCTTTATGTGTGGCGATAAAAGCATTAATCTCAATAAATTACTTTGAACCAGGAAACGACGGTTTCGAATTCAGAGATGTTTTCGTAAGTTATAGATTTAGTATGCAGATTTACTTATATAAATGTCCTATAAACAAAATAGGCTTTTTTCACTATAAAGCAATAATAAAAATAGACGGAAAATTCAAGCCTTAGTTTAAGGCACCCAAAAATACCTAACTGAGAACGGTTTATGTCTGATTTCTAAACATTTTAAATTACTTGTCAGTGACCCTTATTTTCGACATGTTTCTTAAAATTGTTACTTCATCTTCCAGCTTAAAAGTTTTACTTTTCAATTAGTAAGTTAGTAACAAAATGTCTCTTTTTTGCTCTTCACCATCTGTTTGCTCAATACGCGTATAAAAATGATTTGTCTTGATGAAAATCTGAAAGCTTCATCCACTTTATTTGCTTACGATGTACGAAGTGGACTTTCCTAGCCGAGTTGCCCTTGCAATTTTGAATAATTTTGGTTGATCAACACAATTTTTTGGCCTATTATGTGCTAACTGCTGGACTTTGAGTAGTAGCTAATCCTCGATTGTCGTTCAACTTAGAAAATGTAGAAACGGTTCCCTGAATATTCTTCTTTGCATAAATATCAGCTCTCACTATTGGTCAGAAAAATAAGGAGACATCAAACATTCATATCTTCATATTGCATTTATAGAGTATTTCTGGAATTTTATCATTTTGCATATTATATTTGTCTTTGGCAGAGAAACCCTGATAGGTCGATATCCCTTTCTGCATAAGAAATAAATATTTTTACTACTACTACTACCTATTTGTCTTTAGTTTTACCTATACCAAACTGTTGTGGCCTGAATTGTTAGGACATAGGACATTTTTTACTTTAAAATATTAAAATTGCACTCTCAGGGGGAGACACCCTGTACTACAGAAATCATTGCACCAAACTGACTATAAGAAAAAAACAAGGACTGATTGGGTGTTTTACTGAACTGGAACAAAATAATTCGAATTGTATTGTAAAATGTTCACCTTACTATGTAACATTTTACGATTTTTCTGAACTAATAATATAGAATCCACATTATTCGAGCAAATAAAAGCAATATTCAACTGCGTTCCCTTTTTATGGTATAAAAGTTTACATCCGCACGACTTTTGCTTACAGTTGCAAAAAAATTACTAATATGTATATTTAACAGTGCTCATGGAGAGCAAGACGTAAGTGACTGCTTCATTTGAAAAAATCAAGGACAATAACTACAATTTACAATTTTAAAAATAGATATTACAGATTTTTTACACATACACAATTAGTTTTAGTATATTTTGAGCAGGCGAAACATGCACAAATAAAACAAGTTCATGCCTATACTTATTAAATGGTACGAAGGTCCTGTAACATGCAATCAATTGCATGCAAAGTTTCAGCGTAAAAAATGAATACAAATGCAACGGCTAATTTATATAAACGTGACCTCAAAAAATACCTAAAAGCTCTTTTGGAAGAAGTTAAGCGAATGCCAGTAATCTGCTGCGAGAGATCAACATTTTCTACTTTTTTTAAAGCGGAGTTATAATACTAAGTATTTATACTAAGCAAATAACCGATGAAATTACTAAAATTGTTGTCAGGTAAACCCATTTATTTTGCGTCGCCTTTCCTGTTCTTTGATATTTTAAATTGCGTTTCTAAATATAGAGGCAAATTCTACAAAAAGTAGTAGCAGGTTTTGCTCTATTTCTGTTGGGCTTCCCAACTTGGGAATAAATATATGTTAATCAAAGCTTCTGTAAAACTATGATGCATTTGATAAATTTGAAAAAAACAGTGAAGAATTAGCAAATGGAGAATAGCAAGTCGACCTCAATAATACTGAACAATAATTTAATTTTAGCAATGGTGAATGTGAAAATCATTAACAAGACTGAAATTTTGCAGGCGAACAACAATTTTACAGCTACTTTTCTTAAGACAAAGACACCGGCCCCGCATTCACCAGATGAACTGGCGAAGACACTGGAGAACTTTCAATTGTGAGAAAATGTTATTAATATTTCTATATAAAACTTATTTTAACAGCGACGAAATATAACTAATATAATAGTAGAATATGCTAATCCTGCCACGTAAATAACTCTCAAGTTACAATCTAATATAGAACTTCAAACTTTTTATAAAAAATCAATTTATGGTTTGCATTTTTTTTTTCGATTTTAGTAAACAGTGGTTTGTAGTAATACGAAAGAAAATTTGCCAAAATTAAAAAGAACATATATTTTTCATAAATTATATATTCACAAATAAGCGGCCAGTTCACTAATATAAGATTCACTGCAAAAAGATAGTAGGATTAAGTGTTCATTACAGGCTGTCGCAGCTTTAATTTTACTGGTATTAAAGTAAATGTTGCACAGTGAAAATTTAATACTGCGTTTAAATTCCCACAATTTTTCATCCACCTATAAACGTATTTATAAAATGTAGGTACTATGTACATAAAGAATTGTTTATTTTAAATGTTCCTTTCAAAAAAATTTGACCTAATTAGAATTTTACTAAGAACAGGGAGGGAGCCTAAGGAGGGACACTAATAAAAAGAGAAAGTGTCAACTTCAAAAGAAAGCAAAGCAGCGTACAAATATATGTTAATTATTAAAAGTTGAATAAAAAAAATTGAATCCCAAGTAATTTGAAAAAAAAACCATATGAAACCGATACAAAATATAAAAATCTACTAACATTAGAGAGTTAGTGGCTTCTAATATCCAACAGCTGTTAGTTATGATAATGAAACAGAACGCTCAAAATGTAATAACCTTATTCAGGTTTTTTCACAAGCTTTAATCATGAATTATGACTGCGATTTTATAATCGAAAAGTAGACTTAGTTTGCAGGAAGAAGTATAGTATGCAAAGAATTAAGACCGAAAAAAATATTTGTAGCGCTTGAAAATTTTTATTTTTATATTACTCTTATTCGAAGTATTGATTACCAATTGGAAAAATTCGTAATTGTTTCAAGTGTTAACCGTTTTGCAGAAAATCGGTCAACATTTTTTATATCACATTTTTAAGAAGTTGCTTTACCAATGTTTAGTTCCAGTTCCTTGAACACACTCGCAGAATGATTTTGAATCAGAATTTTTTAATGAAACAACACAAATAATGTTGACCTTATACTCAAAAACAATAATTAACTTAACCAAAGTGTGCTTAAAAAGGGCTCTCATGCTAATGTCGGATATTTTTAAATTCTAATGTAAGTCTGCTATTCGATTATGACAACGCAATTAAACCACATTTTTTAATAGTTAGACGCCAAACCATAAGTATGTGCTTTAAGACAAATGCGCTCTGTATCGACCTGCATTTCTTTTGCAAACATGTTAAACAAAAAAAATATTAAAATTTCCTCAATATCTCAATATCTCCAATATCAGAACCTAATACAATATATTAGGTCCTACTAGAATATTTTTATTTTAAACGTTTCTTTTCCAATTAAACAGTTTTATGGTAAATAGAGCAGCGAAACTTAAATTTTCAAATTGATTTCAGGACCATGTCTTGTTTTATTATTGTTTAAAGATACATTTGAAAAGATGCATTATATCTGCATTTTTTTTGTAACGGTGAGTGAATGGCAACACTCCGATCGGAAATTAAGTGCCGGTTAGCCCAAGTGCTCAGGATCAATAAAGCTGAAAGCTCACATTTGAATAATCCACACAGCATTTTCAACCTGGACAAAATAACAGTTTCCTTCAGATTAGTTTTACAACTTATATCCGCAATTTGCATACAGTTATATTCTTTGATGTCCGCTTGAACTGATTGTTGCTGCTTTTGTGTTTTAATTAATTTCAATTATACATCACAGGCTGAAGTGAGATGAAGCATTATTTTGCACTAAATTTAGTTCCTGCAAAACACTAAATATAGAACACAACACTGGCAATAGTGCCTTGATATCGTCGGGTATAGGTTTAATCAAGTTGTAATGTTTAATAAGTAACTTATTCTGACATTGGGTTAAGACCTCTAAAAGTATGTCGCATTAAATATAAACTCAACTATCAATTCCAATGCGATTTCCCAGTTTTTTCTTCCGGTTATGTTAAGAAAATTAAATCAGGATTATTTCTAGCCAGTCACTACATATAACTGTAAGTGCAATTAATCAATAACGTTTTGATCATTTGTTAATTATTGGTACCCACAAGCCTTGTAACCATAAAATTGTTTAATTGCCTGACGGGAAAAGAGGTATTAATGTATGGAATTGGCTGATCTTTGTTAAGTGGAACAATACCAGAATGACGTTCAGCAGAATTCATGAATATAATTGAAAACATTCATTGCGTGGCGCCAAAGAAATAAGCGTGTTTTATTGCTTGCAAGTATTTTAACAGGAAATTTTACAGTATGTAGTAGTACCTACCTGAAACTCTCGGAACTGAAGCCATCATCTTTTTGGCACTGTGAACAACTGCAAAAGGAATATTGGGAATATTCTGATGTAAACTCGCTGGCTGTGTCTTTGTCCACATTTCTTCTCTTGAGCCGCGTCAAAGTTCGAGTTTTTGAAGTAACAATAATTGCCCATGTTCGATGTAGGAAAAACAACACTTTGCTGCTTCGTTCTGTGGTACCTGTTTGTTCCAATTGAACACATCTGCGGGTACTTATTGCTGATCCCATTTTGGAGCAATTCCAACGATTTAGTTACATAGTTGTAGCAATCATTTGAAGAGCTAAAATCGAAAAAAACACAATAATGAAAATGTATTGCCAATTGTAGAAAGCAATAGCGTTTCCAAAAATTATTGCGGACTAATGTTCTCATGTAAATCCATTATTTATCTGATTTTTCATATTTAAATTAGTATTTTTACTGCAAGATTTTTCACAGCATTTAAATGACATTCGTTTCCAATTTTCTGCAGCTCAATGTCCGTAGTGTATTCAATAATTAATAGGAAACTAAATTTCATGGTCATTGACTTTGAATAATTCTATGAATACATTAATTGCATTGTTTCTGTTCTACAGGAAAGTCTAGAGAATTTAAGTTTCTAACCGCAAATTATGGGTGTATCTATTAAAATGTGGTAAACAGTACAATTTTGTCAAATTGTCTTAGTTTTTCTTTAAAAATTAAAATTTAAATATCCAGTGATTACAGTGTTAATGGAAATTTGAAATTAAATTCTTATAAAATAAGATATAGTATCGTTTCTGCTATGATCAGGATTAACTATAAAGGACGTCATAGCTGAAACGAGAATTTAGTCATTAGATGTTTGGGCAGAAGTCAGTCATAAGAATTGAGTCTTGAGATGTTCTAATGTTCGGTTGCAAGTAAAATATGTACTGTTTGTATTAATTTGGAAATAAATTGGTTTTGAAAACAAAATTTTTAAATCAATCAATAGATTTTTAGTCAAGCATACGGGATGAAACAATAACAAAAATAAAATTTTATTTCTTTAAAAAGACTTTTTAAATGTGTCAATATAAAAGATTGAGCATTTGAGAAAACATTTCATTCTTTTCAACATTTCTTTAGTGGTTGTATGGTACCTAATGTATATTATCTGCGATATATTAAGGCATTTTTCACGTAGAACGGATCAAAATCTGCCCAAATGTCATGCAAAAAATACATAATCTGCTCAAAAAAATAAACGTTACACGGCCAAATTTGCCCTCACTTTGAAACTTGGATAAATTATGACTTCTGCGAGCTATTTGATTTCTGTATATTGGTTACATAGATATGATTATTTTTGCATAACGATTCCTATATCTATCTAAAGCGGTTTTCGAAATATTAAATAAAATTCATTATTTTTAATCAAAACGTAGCCCTAAGGAATCTTGTATTACAACGCGATTGCAATACCTGGAAATTAAAAATTTTGGTACTGGATTAGAAAAACCCTATGCTTGAGCCCGGCCTACAGCAATTTGTTTCAAATTATACAGGATGTCTTAAAAATACTGACCTTTCGGCTAGAGATAAAAATTGCTCCAATTACATTTTTTCAACTTGAACACCCTGTATATTAGTTCAGTTGAGAACATGCAGTTGTAATTTGGCTCCTCCAACGGTCAATCTTGACACAGTCAAGCATAGATCATCTTAAACTGTTCAGAATTAACGAATTCGAAAATCGGTCGAAGAAGAAAAATGTTATCACTGCAAGACCAAAATGTAAATTTTTTTATATCACCCCGTAAATAAAAAAGATAGGAAAAAAAAATGAGAAACAGTTTTGAGATATGAGGTCTGTCTTTATGCCTTTGATGTTGAATTCCAAAAAATATATTTTTTGCTCAATTGGGAGCATGCCAAACTTTCACAAATTTTGCATTGCTACATTTGCCACTCTGTAGAAACTTTATCTGAAGCACTAATTTTTTGTAAATCAAATACCTCGCAGCAGTTAGGATTTATCATGTTCCAAAGTTAGGGAAAATTTGACCGTGTTTTTTTTGTTAGCCTGTTGACAACGTTTATTTTGTTGAGCAGTTTATATAAGATGATGCAAAATTAGGTTGCACAATTGGAACTGCAAATTATACATACAAAAGTAAATTTTCATATAAATATGGATACAAAACCCTTCGCCTATGATATATATTTATCGATCAGTCTTGTCTTTATTGCTAAGTACATACTAATTTCGACTTCAATGTTATTTTGGCAATAGCTTTTTCAATTAATTTTGAGTTGTATTAATTTTGTAATTACGAATTGTTTTTTTCGATATTTTTTGCTTTCCAATTATAATTTTTATTGTAAATTGCAAAAATTGAATTTCGATGTTGAGATCAGTAAGTATCTAATAACCACAAGAAGCTCTAGAATCTAGATAAATAAATGAAAAAAATTTAAACTTTGTATGGGACCTCATATGGAACACGATTTAAAAGTACCGAACACAAAATTCAGACTGGGATTCTCGTTGCGGAAAATAAATCTTCAGTTTCATTGAAAGAGAATTATCATTACACATTAAATTTCTTAAGAACTTGTCTCTAATAATTTTTTTTTTAACAACTCCTCTGATATATTGTTTGGCGACTGGTTCATGTCCATCATATGTTCATAGAATCGCTGCTTTGCGACAATTTTCAATTGCGCCGTCAAAGTTACAATATAAATCGGACATTTAATCGAGGTCTTATTGGGCGTTAATCAAGATATAACTCCTTTATATGAAGATAAATATTTTTATACAGGATATGTTTGACCAATTATAACCTTTGAAAATTATAACAATAACATTGTTTCCCAATGTTATTATTAAGAGAATAGTAGTAGTCAATGGAAGGAATCTGCCGATGCAGAAAAATTAAGAATGAATGCGTTGTTACCCAAATAGTGTCATAAATACTATGGTGGCTTTCACCTTCTTAGATAAGAGCGAAAACTATAATTAAATTACTTTAAATCTACAGCAACTGTATATTTCTTTAGTGGTTATTATTTATACAGTGCGCACTTGCTTTCTTCACTTACCAATTATTTATATTTTCTATAGCAGAAAATCGTATTAGCTTTTTATGGGTTTAATCATTAATACAATTGTAATATTTTTTGACCTGCAGTCTATACAAAAGCTAGTACATTTACTGGAAATTTTGTACATAACTAGTGATTTAATATTTGAAAGTTTGATAGATATTTTCTATTTTTTAATAATTACCTGATTGTAATTACCGCAAATGGGCGATGCTCTCAGGTCATATATAAAATGCAAGAAGGCTAATTCAGGATTATTATACAAGGGGAAAGCTATTCACATGATAATGCTAAATACTTTTTTCCGATTATATTATAAACCCACGCAAGCAGTTTAACATGATACCGGAAAATTAATTAATGCTACTTGGTTTGAATGCGATACAGTCTACTAGTCCCGTCAATATTGAGGAGTCTTGCATTATCCGTTTTGTCAATGAAGAAAGTACGACAAATATCTATGACTATAGGCATTGATAAATTCATATGATTGAACGAATTGAATTTTGAACTCAAACGTGAACTGTGGCAACTTTTAATTAATGCCTTTAGATGGTTCAGGTTTTGATTAATAAGCAAACTGGAAGCGAAATCTGAAGAATCCCAAAAATCCCGAAGAAAATTCGTATTCACTGAAGGAATGGCGAAATATATTGCTGATTACATCTTGCAAAACTGCGCTTTAGTAACTAAACAATTAGCGCAAACCAAACATTTTTATGTATTGTTTTCTTTTCATCTTACTATTCTTCCTGGAATGTATGCTTTTGGTTTCCACTCACTAGATTTACATATGCATGCATGTTTGTTCTAGTAATTCACTTATATCAACAAACAAATCAAGCAATGTCTATTTCTCAAGCCTCCTTGTGCTCTTCTAAACTGCTGCAACGCACCTACGCATCATTTGTGTCCAATTAGAGGTTCATAAATAAGTTATGACTGCTCTTAGTAAGGTAACTTTTTTTAATAAGCAAATGCGGTTTTGTGGTCTCCAAAGGTCATTGTTCCGTAGTATTAATATGTTTTTATATAGATATGTAGGTTAAAAACTATACCTACAAGTGCTGCGGCAAACATACATTTTATTCAAACGGAGTAACAATTTTTTACTATAAATCTTTACCAATGGATCATATTTGTCAAATTTCAATTGAAAATAATCAAACGTCTGTAAATACAGTGTAAGGAAATAGCTTTAAATTACTAAGAATTATTTGGAATTATTTGCTTCAACCAAATTTGTATGTTGAAAATTTGGTCACATTTTCTATGGGTTACCGCAGCAGAAAAGCTTACTGGGGTTAGTATTTTTACAATTAAAACACTTCGACCAACTGAGAAATACTTCATAATTAATTTAAGTAGATCGATCCACAGCCGTAATTTTTCTGAATTGTTGAATTTTTTTAATGGTATTTCAATGTAAAAAGCACTTCAAATACTTCACAAATTGAAATAACTTTCTGCTGGACGGAATGCAGGCCTGTGATATTTCTACCAAAGGCCGCTCTTCTTTTAAATTTAAAGCTTACAAATTGAAATATTTAATACGTATTTCCAATATTTGAAAACAGATGCAAAGTATTCCATCCTTTAAGTGAACTTTTGTACAAATAACAACCGTTCTTAAACAACATACATAAAGGCATTTTGATGATGTAATATAATAACGCGTGGCTTCCGCATTAGCCTTTCAAGTACTGCAATTCAGAGCATAGCGGTTTAGCAAAAGCATTTATACAAAAAGAGAATAGAGAAATGGTAGAAAGGTATTAAATTGCACCCATATTGAAACTATAGAGTCTTGGGAAAATGTTACCGCAATGAATGCAATAGTTCAGAGGATTAGTTGGTTATTTCTTATTGGTTTATTGGACGCTGTAGGCAGTGAATGGCTCTAACGTGCTGAAGGAAAGGCTGAAATTAAAAATATCGATATTAAGGAAATTGTTTCATTGCATGAATTGCATTTATAGTCATAATACATATGCGGACCTGTTCCATAAAAATGACTTGGTCATAGATGTATAACTCTTATTTTTGCCACAGTGTGACGAAGACTTAAAATAAAAAAACTGATTCAACAGTACCTATAAATGTGTGTCGTACTGACCAATAAAATTGACTTTACATATTTTGTTTAATTTATCTAAACGGAAAATCTGTGAATGCAGCATTTTACAGGAAGCACGACAATCTCAAGAATTGAAAAATGGAGTATTTTATTTCTTGTTTCAAATTATTAGTTACTACATTACGTGGTTTATTTTTATACCAACATACTCACGGATTCACTATTTGCCTAAAAGGAATGGATGCCGTTGCCTCAAATAACGTAAGCCCAACTTATAAGTAAATTAATAGAAAATGTAATTAATATTCATCATTACAATCTCTCAATATTGCAAAGTCATTAATTAGTTGAAAATCTCCCTTTAGGAGAAAAGTACCTACGCCAACAATTTTGCCATCATGTGCTGATGATCCTAGACTAATTTATTTGATATTCGTAATTAAGTAGTGCCGGAGACAAACTGAATTTTACTTAAATTAACTTTTGATAATTCTCAAAAGTTTGCCTGCTGAAAATTCTGGTCTTGCTCCCGAGGAGAATTGCTTCTTAAATGTATTATTCAAATTATGATGACATTTTTATTCGTTACCACACAATATGGGCCGCGGTTCAGTATCGTAATAAATTTTCATTTAATTTATGGTTTTTGTCAGTTTAAAATGAGATAAGAGAAGGTGTCTGACAGTTTTTTGTGGGCTGGGCTTTGAAAGCTTATTATCCCATAGCCGTACCTAACTTATCTTTTTATACAAACGTACTAACTATTAAGTTATATGTGAAATGTTGTTAAAAGACACAAAATAGGCGGATATGGTATGTTTTCTAATCTCATGAATTATAGCTGTACCATTTCCAAGAAAAAACTGTTTTGAAGAAAAATTCCTTTGCAGGAAATGTTTTTTTTATTTTTTTTTATTTTTTTTGTGTAATACATAGTGGAAATTAAAGGAAATAGTCTATGTAGACTCTTTTCGCTGGAAGTATTTTTTAATGTTTGTACTGTACCGAAATAATTGATTCCTTGGTCATAGCTCGACTAAAAATATCTTTTATATGTGATGGTAAATCTCTGGTTAAAAAATGATTTGCGACTCTTTTTTTTTAATCAAATTACAAAAAAGTTAACTTAGCACTAAAGAAAAATCCTGTGAGACTCCCCTTAAAATAAATAGTTTTAATTAACGTTACAGATACGTATTACACAACGAAATGGAATAACACGTTAAAGTATAGGAACTAACTATTTTAACAAATTAACTTATAGCTAACTTTTTTCAATTTGATTTAAGGCTCTCAATAGATTATTTTTAACTCGTCAAATTTTCAGGCCGAATATGTAATATCCAAGAAACTGTTGTTTAATTATATGAACAATTACACTATAATGAAGCAATCAACTTACAAAATACGGTCTTACACACATAAAAACAAATATCTAGCTGAATTTAATTAGATTAGCATGTTAACTACTAATAAATGTTCACATTTATCTTATTTCGTACTCGATTCAAAAATCGGATCCATTTCTATAACGACAAACTATAAGAACAGCAGATCTTGTGGATGTAGTATATCTAGTATATGTATAATATCTATATGTGCCTAATTTAAAAAAAAAAATATTTTAACTACTGCAAAGAAATTAACTCTATAGATTATTTCTTGCACACGACATATTATGCAAATTTTAATTAACTAAAATTATACTTAGCTTTCCAAATGTAGTTTCTGAGCTGAAAATAGTTCAAAACGTAAAAATATGTCTATTAACAGAATACAGAAGAAGGAATTTAATATTCTAAAAAAATCGTTTATTTATTCGAATTTGTATATTTCTCGTAATGTTTTCCTCAACGCAACTTGGCTTATTAGAAATGACCGCTTGATTCCAATTTAATAACAGCCAGGCCTTTCACATACGACTTTCAAATACAAATTGATTTATCGCACTGGATTTTTATGGGATTATGGGAACCTTTTTCGTAGGCCAAATAACCGCTAGTAGCACCATAGATGTGATAATATTAACAGCATTAACATTTTGGCATAATTTACATTTTAAATAGCGGAGATAACTGGATTTTAAGAACTTTGGTCACTAGGTTATTATTGTTGCAGAAGCGAACAGTATAGGATATTTTAAAATATGTATGAAGGCCATCTCTGAATGCTTATTAGATTCGATATTAGGCTATTTATACTTTACGAAATGTAGTTCTGATACTCAAATTAAACTTAAGTCGCTTTATAATCTATATTCTGCTTGAAAAAGCTGTCGGTGAATCGAATAAATATTTTTTAGTATCCGGCTTTTATTTGCTTTTATTAAGTTAATATTTTTTGTTAATTATTCTCCCCACTAGTTACAATAAAATGTATTGCATATATACTTTTTTGAGTTAAGATTTGCTTTTTCACATCAGATTTATAGAGTTGGCCAACTTGCGAGAACATGTACAGCTTCAACGTTTTTAATATTATTTTAAATCTTCAGATATAATATGATATAATCTAGTTCACGCGCACTTTTGCCGACCTAAAAACCGAATATTACAGATTTTTGAAAAACCATTTAATAAAACGTATCATAAAAGGGCACTAATGGTTCAAACGATCACCCTTTCAATTATGAAGTGAAATGTACTACTTTTATTATTTTCATATAAAAATATAATTTCCGACAAATGTAATAGCTTTCGTAACAAGTTTCTCTTTCAGATAAATGGTTGTTTTCTTCGGTTTAAACCGGATCCCAGTATATGTAAGTACAACAACAACAAAAATTTAAAAAGTTTTGAGACATTTTTTACTTATATTTCAAGATTCGTTTTGCAGCATCTTGCTGTGCAGTAGATTTGGTATTAGATTTCATAATTTTGTAGAGCTGTTGTACCAAAATATTAAAACCTCTATTTGAGGGGTTGTTCAAATAGAGGGTTTCAAGGTTCAAACAAAAGGTTCTACACCTTGTTGAATGGTTTAAAAATGTCTGTAAATTGCTTTCTAGACTTATTTTTCAATATTTTTGTTTCACTTCCGCTGGTTTCTGTAACTGAAGCTGTACAGCATTAAAAACATTTTAAAGCGTTTGATACTTTGAAGAATTTGACATGAAGAATTACAATATGCAGGGTTCCGAAAAGTTTTCTAATTACAGTAAACCAATGTGGTTTTACCACTTTTTAAGTTGAAATTTGAACTAATTACTCATCAATACATTTATAACTAAGAACATGTTTTTTTTTAATTTTTATTAAATGTTTAAACAAATTTCAAGTGGATAAAATTGCCGCTCAATATACGTATTTACCTTTTCAAATGTCACGCAATTATCCTTTTAATGTGTTCCAATCAACCAGTACTGCTCACAAATGTTACCACCCACATCCTTAGATATCAATGCACTAATACGCCCAATCAAACACTTCAATCATTGCTGGTATCAGCTGTATTATAGCGAATTGAAAAAGTTAACAAAATCGCAAAGCGGCTATGAAAGAGCGCGTTTCATCTATTAGAATGTAGTGTCTGATTTAAAATCAAAGTCTTGGAAGCGATCTATCGGTAGCAAGAGGAGGTAGCAGATTATGAAAGAACTAATGTTATTTAGTCTGGGACAGTACCAGTGCTTCTTGAAACCGCATTCGTATGGTCAATTGGCTCACTACTCCAGTTTTTTAATGTTTCTTATGGCAGGTCCTGTTAATTTCAGAAAACTCGTCGTAAAGCGTTGATCTATTGAATAAGTTATGATACAATAGTACATAAGGTAAATCGCCCGACCCATTCGAGTCCCCCCACAATACCACTACTACTACATAAGGTAAAAACCTTGTTTTATTTTTCGATTATAGAAGATTTTATTTATTGACCCTTGAGATAGTATAGCAGAGAGAGGAGCAATTTTCGTGTAATTACCCATGAACAGTTTCTTATATTAAATTTGTCAAACCCTGGTTAGCATCTGTTTAAAAATAATTTTTAAACGATAGCAAAAATTTAGTTCAACTTTTTTCTGAAATGTCGGGTTTGTTCTGAAACTGTCCATTTCCATCGGATTATTTCACTTTCAGCAAAAGCAATGAAGTTCAATTTTTTTAAATCTTTCGTGTATTTTTTGCTCAAATCAATGTTATTTGCATATCTTAGACCAAACCCTTCAAACATATTTTCTATAGCGTATTTGCCCCAGAATAGTATCGTGCACTTGGAATAACAACAAGGTTTTAATGGAGATGTGTTTGCTTCTACAACTAGCAGAGACTCAAATATGTTTTTTCTCTCTAAAATAGAGTGTCTGCAACTTAGAGTGTGTATAACTTCCAAAGTTAGCGAATTTCAACATTTTTTTTAAAGAGCAGAATATTTTAGATCTCTTGAACACTTAGACAAAATAATTTATTTAATCAAAGCTACTTGAGCAGCCAAACATTATTGACTAAACTATCAATAAACATAATCAGTTCCTTAAACTCAGCAGCAGAAGCAACCAAAAGATGATTATTTGATAATAAAAATGATATCTGGATAAGAATAAATTGAATTTTCGATACTAAAAGATATAGGATAGATTTTAGATATAGATAGGATATAGATATATATATAGATAGGATAAAAGAACTTTCGAGTCAGAACGAAGATGTTTTATAATACCAACAAATCCTCGATTACAGAAGTAAAACGTATGGCGCTATTTTAGCAAATGATCCAAAAATGTTTTGAAAAAGTGTGAATTCACAACTTATGAAATGTATTTATGCTAACAAATTTATGAAGTGTTTAAAGCACTATTCTCCACTTATAAAGCATATGATTAAAATCTGAGCACTCATTTGGATTTTCAATTACATAGACATGTCAACTCACTCACTAAGAACCTTTCAGAAAAAAGTTTAATATGAAAAAGAAACACAGAAAGATTGAAGATTTACTGTGAGCTAGGATTTAGAAACAACGGTGGTTTCAGTAAACATCTGCCTTAAATATAGATTTCAGTTAATATTAGCTATTATATGTACTTTATGTAGTGTATCCAGAAACCACATACACAAATAAAAACATAATCGACATTTTATATGATTCATCTCCTTCAAGAATTAATAGACTTATTCCAACATAGTCTCTGAGGGAAACCGAATACTATGAAATGGGTTTTGAAAGTTTTGTATTGTTCCCAGTTTAATAATTAATTTAATTGCCGCATATAATCAGTATACGAACAATTGACTACTTCCCAAGAGGATTAGGCTACCTTCATTGAAGCAAACAACTTAATTCACCGAGGGTAGCGACCGCTATGTAGATCATATTTTGTAAATCGTAGTTTTTGATGATACTAATTTACAGTACTTTATATTTCATTTATTTTATGCAAAGTACACACTAAAACTTAGTAGTTGCACTTTTATAGTTCTACCGCTCCTAGGAAATTGAAAAATATAATTGAAAAATATGAAATATACAAATAGTAAAACAAAAATATTATATGACACGCACTATTAATTTCAATCCCTTACTGAAGAGTAATAGAAAATTTAACAGAAGTTTTACTTTATCAGAGCATTTTTGTTGCTATTACTAAAATATTTTTCATGTGAAAACTATTTTTCACTTTGAGACAAGGGGTTGATTGTAGTAAAACATGCGATATTAATGTGAAGCACTCAGTATTTTTAACTTAACTCATTAAATGAATAACAACCTTTCTTTTTCATGTGAATAAAATGTTGATAAAACAATTTTTATAATTGTGATACGTTGATTGGTGAAGTTGGAAATAAAAGAACACTTTTAATTATTTTTTTCATTCTGGTCCAATATTTTTGTTCTAATAAAGAATAGCTTAAAAATAGGCTAATTATCGAGCTTATTTCTATATGTGGAATGTCGAGTATTTCATAGAAGAACCTCAATTGGATACAGTTATGAAGTTTTAACCAGTGATTAATTATTTTGAATTTAAAAGTTAAGAACAAAAATGTCAGAAAAGTAGAGAAAGGACTTCAGATTCAAACATTCTGACTATCCTGTGTGTTCGAAATATGTCCACTGAATTTCAACATGTATTTTACTTAGTTGCTTTCTTTATTCGCCGAGACAGAAAATATTAGTTTTCCATTCATCTTCTTAGTCGTAAATATCACCGGTGCAATTTATTGTTATTTCTTTTAAACCAGGCATCTTTTCCACTGTCATCGGCCAATGAATCATTAATATGATTTATATTTGCGCTGATCATAAATCCATAATATTATTTTTTTCTAGTGAAAAAGTATAACGGCAAATTTCAGGAACTAAAGCCAATTTCTGAAGACGCACCTTAAACAAACATCTTTTTTGTTCATAGCTACATACTTAAATTAATATACATTAGTTGATATATGCAATGTCAACTGGCTGCATTAGGCTCGTATAGTTTGCAGCTTTTGTATTGATGATGCATGAATTTTACACTTGAGGATGCACATTCGTTAAGCTGAGTCCGCTTACATTGTGAAAGTAGAAATGGATTTATTAGCACGTAATGCGTCCCTCATAAATATCAATGTGGTATTGATTAATTTGGCCTTTGCACTTTAAGAAATAGTATGTATCAGCTTTTAACAAATTACTCAATTTAACATAAAATTGAAGAATATATTTTTATAAGATTTTCGAGCAGTGAGCAACATTTGTCTATAGATAGTTGAGTTTGGGTCGAAGCAAAAAATTTTAAAAAATCCAAAACTGAGACGTTGAAGTAAGATGAGACATTTGTGTATTAAAAGTGAAAACTACGTGATTAATATAGCAACTTTTCACAAACAATGCCAAATAACTTTTAAAATATGTGGACACTTGGCAGACACTGGAAATATTTTGCATTATGCTCAGAATGTATGTATTTTTACTATACGGTTAGTCAATTTTTTCTGCATCATTTCCAATTTCGGCGGAGTGTTTTGCATGTCGTTATCACTGCTTTCCATGATAGTTTTCTACGTCTTTACTCGAAAACCTGAATCAGAACTATGCACACCACACTGTAGAATACTAAAATAGCACTGCTAAGATCTGACGTTATGAATACTTGTTAATGTTGTGGTATTTTATTATATTAAATTATATAAGTTAACGCTCGTTTTTCTAAGTGAAGCGCGTTAAAATAAACCTCTTATGAAAGGTCTTCAATACAATTTTACATGTTGATTGTAATCGATTAACAGTTTCACAAAATGCATGAGAAGTTCAACAGCTGGGTTTGAACTCATTACTTCATTTATTCATTCGTCTATTGAATTTAATGGATTATCAAATTAGTATTTAAGTAATTTATTAAGATATTATTATTACTATTAATATCTCGAATTTATTATTTTATACTACATTACATAATTCTACTTATTTTTCGTTCAGTATGAAAATGGAGCTCAAATACTGTTACTAGAAAATTAATTTGTGCTTCGTGTTTTGGATAACGTTTGTCACTAGTTCCGTTGTATGTATACTTTCTGTTTCTGATGAAGATATTCGTAAACCTATTTAGAATGAATATAAGACATTGAATTGAAAATAACAATTACTTAAAATAAATTTTTGCATTGTGCGAACATTTCGACATTAGTTATTTATTACTTCCCATGTTTTTTAATGAACTCTCAAATAAACATTAAAAGTAATGAACCACCTTCAACGGAAATGAAACCACCTTGTAAAGCAAACCTAAATGAACGTGCCATCTATGCTAAGAATTTGCAAGAATTGCAATCCAAACAGTTGCTTGTGAACAGTTTCGTTTCCTGTCCTGCAAATATGGGATTAGCTAACTAAAGGAATTGCTCAACACATGTAGATACATAGTTATGTAATACCTGCTCTAGGTTAACAGTTTACCAGTTCCATCTAACAGTCGAATCACTTAAGGATTATTGCGGTGCACGAGAACATTTAAGCCAGTTTTTATCAGGATTTGTGTGTTATAAAACACATCCGTACAGCTTTAAAATCTGTCGCTCTAAATTCAGCTGTTAAACTGACCGCATGGAATTTTGCAGAAGTATTTCTTGGAAAACCGCAAGGTTTTTACAAAGAAAGTTTAAATGGGCTATTGAATTATCTAAAAACTATTGATAGAGCAAAAGTGACCAGGAGTGTTATTATAGATATTACAAAGATAAGAAAAACCCTTGACTTCATTTCTGTAATTATTAAATGCATATTTACTGATAGTGTAGCTTTAAACTAAAAAATAACTTAATTTAAAGCGTCTTTTTTGGTAGATTTTGCTGATCTTTTTCATTTGCAGTCATCGCCTACACTTTCTACAAATATTAATTTCTGTGCAAGAAACCCTACTACTGGGCCCCTCCTCAAGAAGACGTAGCTCCGTTAAGGAGCATTTTTCGATACATGTTCATTTGAAAAATTAATATTATTTTTGATAGCAGATTTCACTATTTCAGTTTGGCCACCTGATTTAGGGACACCCGGTAGATATTGATTGAAAAAAACATCCTGAAGTTTAGATAATTGCAGACCTACTCGATGTTTTCTTACATACTTAGGATTTCAGTGAATTGAAACCTAAACCTAAAAAAATAAAAAAACATGCATAAATTAAAAATTGTATACACTTGTATACGTTTAACATTTTTTTTCTCATTTTTACAACTCACTTTTTATTTTTATGTAATTTATCTAAATTGACAACAAACGTATTTTTACTCAGTTTGCCATTTAAAGTTTAAAAAACATAGTATTTTAACGTGTTTTTGAAGCCTTTTGAATATTTACCTTAATCTTGCTCTTTTTGTTTGATTGTTAAATATTGAAGTGTTTGAATTGAGGTTAGCATTAGACATTATTGAAACTACAAAAAACTTGTTTGATTTAATGTTATTAAAACTGACTGAAGTTTTAATATTAACTTAAAATCAAATTTTTCACTGAATATTTTCTTGTGATAATTGCTTTCCTTGACTGATAGGCATTCAGGTGTTTACTCACCACTTGAATGCAATCACCCACCCTGTAAAGACAAAAAACGGCTTTAGGCTTGTCCGATTAGGCTACAACAACAACGATAAAACACAAATCCATTTTACTATTTCAAAACTCTTTATTAAAAAATCCTATATTTACAACCTATTCCTATCCTATCACCTAAATATACAATACAATTAAAATTAGAAATACTTAGCCATAATTAATCTATAAATATTGCATAAATATCAAAAATATTTTTCATAGACATCCAGGTAATACCTACCCAAAAAGAAATATATAACGTGACATATAAATTAAATTATTTGCAACATTGCTAGAGAATTGAAATCGGAAACAATTTCGAGATGAAAATTTAGAGATTTTTGTATATCGGGCAAATAAAATATGGCAGTGATTTTATTGTTAGATCCAATTTTTTTTTAATTTACAGTTACAACGCATTAGTATTGGGCAATTTGTTAAAAAATCATGGCTCATTTTTAAATAAATTTTCATTAGAATTAGCGAGACTAGAACCTAATATTTAATATTAGATTCACTATTGCAGATTCCTCGATTTTAGCTTGCATCAAAAAATTGTAAGTTGGTTTGCTTTTCTAAATCGATTTGCAATGCTTGGTTTCTACGAAACTCAGTCACTAGCTGATGAATTGTAGACTATAACAACTTCTAAACCACACTCGAACATCCCGCTTTGCATATATTTGAAAGTAATTTTTTTCAGGTAAGAATCAGAATGCCGTTAGACTGATATGGCAAACAAAAAGTACTAAAATATCCGACAATTCAGTGATGTTTGGTCTTTTATCGCTTATTAATGATTTGGAAATGAAAACTTTCTTCCTTTTACATAAGAAAAGTTCGAATATAAATGCTTTCAAGATAATGCCATGTAGTTTCAGCCTCGAAACATAGAAATATGACTTAAAACAAATGAAAAGCAAAAATACATTTGTGTAGTCACCAACTTAACTCACAACCGTTTGGAAATTTGGACGCTTTATATCGAGTTTTAAACTTATCTTCTAGTCGGGGGAGCAGGGGTAAATTCTTGGCACCCTTCAACATTTTCGGGCCAATCACAGACGTTTTGGTTGGGGTTGAAAACCAAGTTTACCGGACACGGCATATGATGTTTTCTTTCACCTTCACACATATAATACATTTTACAGTCGGCCTTATCCGGGTGATAACTGATATGACCATCCTGCTCGTCACAAGTTATTTCGTTAGCTGTAAATTAATAACAGAGTTAAATTTTATGAAAGCAATCTTTATTTCTTGTGAAACCAGCCTTTGAGCCAATCGGTCTAAAGTTAAATATTAGACAAACGACTACAAATTTAATTTTGGGAAAACAACACAATTTGCGCCACTTACGGTCTTTAGTAGTATATTGGCCTGACCCAACGTTTGTTTCATAAGGCCCTTCAAACTCAAGTTTCACTTTATAACCTTCCAATTCGTGCCTCATCGCATTTATAAGGGGATATTTGCCACTTCCACAAGATCCTCTAAAATCGTCCATATCAACCGACCAAATCATGATGCCTCCAAAACCTTCCTCTTTCAACCAGGCCATCTAAAATAACAAATAAAACTTAGGGCTGTTTGACGCGTCCTTTCATCAGCATACTTTTGTTTTAAGACTTCTTTCATCGTCAAATCCAACCCACTGATTGTCTTTGTAGGCAAATGGAACTTGCTGTTCATTATCCCAGACTAGAGTTACGTTATCTTCGTGCAGGAAGTCGCAAACTTCATAGAAGCTCATGAAACCAGCTTCCGACGTGTATTTTCCAGCCTGTCCACCGCCGCTAGCTGGAGCTCCAATATCGAACTGAGTGGTGTTAACCAGCTCGAAGCTTCGACCATATGTGGGCATACCAATCATCAACTTTTCTCTTGGGGCTCCTTGTTTCACCCACTCTCTTGCAGAATAATCCTAGTATCGAAAATCAAATTACGTTCACAGGAAAATTATTGACTAATATTATCAGAGGAGTTTATGCAGCAAATGATGTCTTACCACTGTCAGTTTCTTCTGGTAGCTTGTGGCGCTCTCCAACGGGAAAAGCGGGCTGTTGTGACCTACAGTTCTTTCCCATTGTCCATGGAAATCGTACGTCATCACATTAATATAATCAAGGTATTTTGAAATTTCTGGTACATCATAACCAGCCGCTATGGCTTCAAATGAGGCAGGCACAGCTGCAGTAAGAAGCAATCGAGGTTGACCACTAGTTTTTGCTTCACCTTCAAAGGCCACACGCAGTTCCTTCAGTAATGATACGTATGAAACACGATCATCTGCACCTGGTACAGAAAATACAAATTAATTAATGAAGCATGGAGTTTGAAAGTCAACTACCTCTAGGGTATTCCCAGTCCACATCCAAACCATTCATTTTATATTCCCTCAGAAAATCTATGGCGTCGTAAACAAACTGATTCATCCTGAAAACATTGCTGGTAAGATCTTTGAATGGAGTCGACCCAAATGCCCATCCACCAATCGCCAACAGGATCTAAATAAGAGAAACTGTTCTAAGAGTTGATGGGAAATAACATACGGCTCATTGGATATGTAAAATCGTTTTCTCTCATGGATCATTTAAGGCATTCAGCAAAGCATATAATGGTCAGTTATTTGCTGAGTTAAATAATAAATGGGCGACTCTTGGTATCTTGAAAAACACGGTTTCAAATATTTTGATATGATTATAAGCGCGGCTATATATATCTAACTTCTTTTTGCTTTCGTCTACAGTATCTAGAATATTTATACTTGTAACATTTTCAAACAAAATTGTTTTTGGGTCAAATGGAAAGTGGAGATTTAAAAATACAAAATTGTTTTAGGTTTTTTCAGTGCCAAATCAAGGCACTGGGCTGGTCTGCAAAGTTTTATATAAATAGATAAAAATAATATAAATGTTTGAGAAATATCAGAAGAACAACCACCTATCGGAAAACCGACGATTTCCCCATGATAGAACGGATTTATATACATAAATCACAGTTGCTTCAGTGTCACTCGCAATTTTTAACTTTTGTATTTTTCAAGATACGGATAGACGTCTATAATGTTGTTCCGCCTTGCATGAAAGCAGTCGGCTCTCATTAATCTTACCTTTAAGTCGGGATTTTTGTCCCTCAAAGCCACAACTCTTTCATACATCTCTGGATCTTTATCACTCCCTTCAGCTAGCTTGTGATCATCAAGAGTGGCGAAAGCGTATACTATGTGGGTACACAAGGCTGGGTTGATGTCTTCGGGCGTGAACTTGCCTGCACCTGGTCGTTTTTGAGACCAGCTGGTCATGTAGCAAAATACTTGGGGTTTTCGTACTGTAAGTTAATAAATTCCAGTTCAGAAATTCCATTAGTACATAAACTGCCGAATCTTGTAATACTCGCAGAGCCATTCCAAAATGTACGGGAATTTATAGCGCTTACTTATGAACAGCATGTGTTGGATAGACTGTTCTGCTCCAAATAATTCACACTTAAGTCTAAATGTTAAGCACCCAAGGCCGGAAATTTTTTTGCTATTCAGTGGGAAGGAATGTAAGATTGGCGGCAATTGCAATTGCAGGTAGATTATTATCACATCTTTAGAAGTCCACGGTTGAATGAATGGTTATTACAAAATATGTTATTATTGATAATGCACGTCGTTCGGTTTAACCAGAACAAACATGGGAGGTCGGATAATATGGAAAATGCGAGGTCGATTCAATCAGGGCAAAGTTGCTTGTTTGGAAAACAAACAACGTAGCGTCGAAGCCCTTGGGGGCGAGCTGCTGAGGTTTAGTTGCGTATATTCTATATTATGCTTGTATAAGTTACGTTTTTCAACTCTGTGGTCAATTCAGTTCAAAAGCCCTGTCCCTCTTTTTCACAAAACCGTTTTTCATGAAAGTTATCTGGCTAATCATTGACTCATAAACGGGAACACTTTGCATTTTCTTCTAAGTGAATAAACGGCTTTGCGGAACACTTTTTACTAAATTTGTATGAAATAGTCTTCGTCATTTTCACTAAAATAATGTATTTTGAAATATTTCTATTGATGGTATTTCCAACTTGCAAAACAGACAATACAGATTATTTCATGTATATTTTTTCAATGGTTTTAATGCATTACATAACGGGAATTCCGCGTGATAAAATTCCACGTGTTTCGTTCGATCTTCTTCTTCTATAAGAGAAGTTTTAACAAAATCATTCACACATCTTTATAATAAACAATGGCCCAACAGATCTGGTTTTAGTGAAAATTTAATTAAATAAAGCGAACTTCCCTTTCAAAGTCGATCATCATCAAATCTTGTTTATAGGGTTCAAGTTATTGTCGTATGACTTGGTTAAAAAGACACGGTGATAAGCAGCCAGTAAATTTGGTATTAAGCCCAACATGTGCTTGTGCGCGGCGCTTTCAACCTGCTTGAATTTTTTTAATAAATCCGGATTTTCTCTTGCGACGGTTAATAACTACTGTCGTCGAGGGAAATCCCAGTATTACAAGGGAACCCCATACTTGCATAAAAAGCCGTGCACAGCGGGAGCGCGCGTATCGTGCAGGGAACTCCATATTACAGGAAACCCCCATTCTGCTGATAAAAAAGCACATTCTTGCAAGGGAACAAGGGAATAAATACAGCAGAATCGGTCCCGTTTCTTCTTCAGGTTACATTCTAACTATATGATCAGGTTCTGTTTCTGGAGCGCGCTTCGGTTCACTTTAAATGAACAGAACCCGGCTGAGTCAAACTTTAAATTATGCACAAAAAGTCACTTGTAAAATTACAGAAGAGAAACGGGCTTAGAAAACTCTGATTTTGCCCAAACCTTCTTTTCAGCAGTGTTTTTCCTGAAGTGAAGGATTACCCTAGTGCGACCGAAGAAGACATTAAAAAGGGGTGGCCCCAAAAATGGGGGGCTACCCACTGCCACGGGATAAAAACATTATGAAACAAGGATCTTCTAAAGATTCCAGCCGAACCTTGGCGGAAATAACGAACCAAAGTGCGGGCCATTCTCATGCATTATCGCCAATATCCTCATCCTCCGGCGATTTTCGTGGGTTTTCCGGAACTTCCCTACCTAGATTCCAAAATTTTACTCATTTGCGATCATGAAAGTCCTTGAAATCCTTTAGAAAAGTATTATTTGCTTACATTTTTTCAAATTATCTCCATTACAACTACTGGGATTTTACGATATACATTTTTAAAGCTACGAAATGTCCGTTCGAATTAGTTAAAAAAAAGAAATAGAAAATATTCACATTTTTCTAATTCTGAATAATAATTCTAAATTTTCAATTATTTAAACCATTTCATATCTTAAACTAAGTAATCACTCAATATGTGCTGCATGAGCTGATAATACGGGGATCGCTTTATTTTTTTAAAACAGTTGGTGCAATTGTTATTAGTAAGAAAAAATACCTTTCTTGTTGATAGAATTTTTATGGGATTTTTTCCCTGGTTTCCTAGCGCGCTTCAAGACTTCCGAGACTCCAATTTTCATTGGCTTTGGTTTTTCAACTACTTCCTCCTCTTCCTCCTCTTCTTCGTCAGCTCCAGCAATGGCTTGCCAGTCGATGTCTTTGGCGTCTTTTCCTCTTGAAATACCTCTGAGCTCTTCTCTAAAAGTTGAATGAAAGAATAACTAGGCCCTTAGTATGTTAGCTGATATAAAATTTACCTCATGGCGCCAATTAAAGGATATTTTATATCGCCTCCACACACAGTTCCACTAAAATCGTCCATGTCCACGGTCCAAACCATAGCGCCAGCAAATCCGCTTTCCTTCACCCACTTCATTTTATATCGTATTGATTTTTCATCGTCAAATCCTACCCACTGGTCTCCGTCTACCAAATAAGGTACCTTCATTTCATCGTCCCAGTGATATGTAGCGCCGTTCCTCAACATCTCACAGATCTAAGTAACAATAACTACCCTTCACTACAATGTAATTTTTTCTGCCGCAAAATGTATTGTGCGAAAAGTATTATGGGAATTCTTAAAGAAATTAAATTGCTGAATATGACTGCTCATAACCCGGTGAGCAATAGCTTTCCAATTGCAGAATCGCAATTTAACACTAGTGTTCAAATTTTCTGAGAAATATATTTTTGAAAGTGACAAACCGAAACTCCGAAGCAGTAAAACTGATAATAGTTGGTTTGTCCCTTTGAAAATTATAAATATATTGCAGAAATCGTGGTATGTTTTTTTTATTATGGTGTGTTATGCTTACATTAGTTGTAGTAGTAGATATTATATTGTTATTTTAGTTTTAGTTCTAGTTTTTATTACCTCATAGTATGCTAAAAATCCGGATTCTTTCGTATATTTTCCTTCGTTACCACCGGCGCTTGCAGGTGCATGAACTCCGTGTTTAGCAGGATTAGAGAGCTTAAAAGACCTACCATACGTTGGCATACCTGAAAATAACAAAAACTGTTAATGCAGGGAAATGCTACAATTAAAAACAACTGAAGATATTTTTGCGAAACTTATTGGGTTAATTGTTGAAAGTATCTGAACAAAAATCTAAATTCAAAATACATAAATTAGTATCTGAGGAAACCGTATATTATTTTAGATGTTTGTAGGTGCTTAATTAATTAACTATGGCACCAAGTGTTTTATTTTTATTTTTAGCTAATTTAGTATTTTGAACATTAATTCCCAAAAATTCCAAATTTATTTGTTTAAATACCTATTTCCAACTTTCTAACCGGTGCTTACCGATGACAAGTTTTTCTTTGGGAGCGCCCAACTTTACCCACAAATTGGAAGCATGATCCACATTCAACTGCTTCTGATACTGACTGTCTGATTTGGGCGAATATAGTGGAGCGTTATGGCCAGTTTCTTTTTCCCATTTTCCATGGAAATCGTACGCCATCACATTAATGAAATCTAAATAGGAGGCCACCGCAGGAACGTCGTATCCCCCTTTGATATTATCAGGACCTACTGGTACTGCAGCGGAAAGAAGCAGTGTAGGCTTTTTGATTTCCTGTGCTTCTGCTTCAAATGCTTCACGCAATTCTGGAATATAATGAAAAAATGCATAAAATCTCGATGAAAGGGCACCAAATTTAATTACAGATTAATTTTGGCCCAAATAATCAATGAAAATCATTCGTTTGAAAACCATCCACAGGGTTTCCATCTCTGAAAATATTGGTTTGCCTTCGTTCTCAATTCATTTGAGCTGAATTTGTCGTTTGATCACCCTTTACATTGTAAAATAAACGCAAAATCTAAATCAGATTCTTGTGGGAAAAACTATGCGCCTTGGAGTCGTAATTGCGATAATGAAGATTCCTTTCCAATACCTCATGCTGCTTAATTTTATACGCGCCGTCTAACAGTAAATGCCTGACTTTTTAATGAACTGCATAACTTAGATTTGCAGTCAGAATAAATTAGATTGTAGGTGTAATGAATGTATTTTCATATTTCGCATTGTTTAGTCCCGCGCCAAATTTTAAAAATATTTTAAAGGTAATAACATAATTTATAATGCTTGTTGTGTGCAAGCGAATAGCTGAATAAAAATATTTCAAGTTAAACGTTGAATGTTTTTGTCATTTATACCTTTTAATAATAAGACAAAGTTTTTCTTATCAGCCGTCCCACTTGGATATTCCCAATCCAGATCAAGACCATCAAAGCCTCTATCTCTCAGGAATGGAATTGCGCTGAAAATGAACGTTTGTCGTGCATACCTAGTGCTGGACATGTCCTTAAACTTTTTCGTTCCAAAGGACCAACCACCTAAAATTCAATGAAAGTAGTTGCAACTATTCAGCTAAAATGCGGATGTAAAAAAGTTTTTGTTAATGTCTAATAATACTTACCAATAGCCAACAGAGTTTTTAAATTAGGGTTGCCTTTCTTTAGTTTCTGGATCCTTTCGTATAAACCGACTTTTCCATCTTTGGTTTCATCATTGCTTTCAAACGACGAAAGCTTGCCCTTCTTCAACCAGCCGAAAGCAAAGATAACGTGTGTGCACAAGTCGGGCAAGATATCTTCTGGGGTAAATTTACCAACTTTGACCCTGAAGCAAATTATTCATGATTACTTCCTTCCTTACTTACTTTCTGAAAAAGAGTAAAGAACTACTGGAAAACATTAAAGTTATGCACCTGTATTGTGACCAATTTGTGTAGTAGCATACAACTTTGTAGCCATCTTTATCCTTCTTGGTCGTGGATGCGCTAACATCATTGTCTGATGGTTTTTTGTGTCCTGGTCTAGTTCTTCTGAATTTGCTTACGCTTGGCGCTACTTCCTGGTCTTTGGACACTGCTACTCTTTGCGATGATGATTTTAATGGACGCCGCAGCCTTCGGCGTGCAGCTGAAGAAAATTTTAAACTTTTTATTCTACGCCCATCATAGCTAAGGTCTCTTTAACCTAATGCTGATTTAAACTGGTGATAGCTTAATTTAAATAGTGTGTCGGTGTTCGATGCGTACTTTATTGAATAATTTTGAAGTTTGTCAAATTTTGTGCAAATAGTTAGGATGCAATAAGCTAGAATTGCAAAAACCGTAGACATAATTGTCCATAACTATTCAAGAACTGATAAATGGAAGCAAGTACCGCACTATCCAGGAAAACTCTATAGAAAATTAATGGTTTATAGAGTATATTTTAACATACATTTTTCAGTTAGAAAGTTTCACTATTCGTAGGGAAAGAAACGTTTTCATGCTGCAGCATATCTGTATAATTTAGGCACATTTTTTTATTCATTATCATATTCATAGCCAATAAAATAGGCATTTAAAGCTGGACCAAAAATTAATCTTTGACGGTCGAGAAAAACAAAGATTACACAAAACACAGAATATGTATTTACTTCTAAATTTCTAATAAAGTTCCTAAAGATAGATATGAAAAAGTGAAGTATTAAGCTTTAAGTCTATGAATTTATCAATATTTTAACAATAACTGCGGAAAATATTTTTCGAATCTACCTATTTAAGCATTTTTGCAGACAAATTTAATATTCTTGCGTACGTGTTTGCGTTTCTACGTTCAATTTTTTACAACCTTTCAGTCTTAGCATACTAAGTTGCCAATGAAACTATCTGTACATTGCCTAAACCATGTGTTAGCATGAAAATCATTCTATTTTGTGCTATAAGCGCGTGTTTGCATTGTTATTTGCGATTCCTTCATATGAAGAAATATATCTGGGTCTAGTAAATGAGAAACGTATATTCACTTACCTCTTTCTGAATTGGAAATTTGTACTAACAGTATAACAACTAAACATATAAGCAGAAGTGACCTGAGTTTACACCTAGGCCGTGGTATCTGAAACAAACAAAATCTAATTAATTAAGAAATTAAATAACTAAATTATTTGCAAAATTACCAAACATTTCTCAAATTGGGTTAAATTGTAAGCTGTGGTAAGGTGGCATGCTGGGTAAATAATGTAAATTATTTTTAATTCGTCATTTGGCAAGAAATAATTTACCGGCCTTGAAACACTGAGATAAAATTTACCAACAGTCAAATTTTAAGAAAGCTTAAAAAATCATCGGTAAACTATCTATTTTAAAAACTGCATTGAACAATTCGTTCTAACGTATTTCTGATTATTGTTATTATTTCAAAATTAGTTGACCGACAATTGACCCAAAATAATGATGTGAATCAAATCGATAATCTATCTCATCATTATGGCATATTAATGATTTACGCGCAAAAAAACTTTCTATTCAGGCATGGATTGTAATTGACTAACAAATTCCAATTAATTTAATGAAAGGACTTTGAGTATTCAACCAATACAAATTTTTAAGCAAATACCAAAATTAGAGCTAATTGAAGTAGAAAATATAGTTTGGCGGAGAGATCTATCGGAAATTAGTCATTACATTCATTCAAGGGATTGCTTCGACATACATAAACATAAATTTAGTTTTCGATTTCTATACCGAGTAATTAAAAGTTTATTTAAAAAAAAACTTGATAAATTATGTAAAAATGATTCTGTGGGCTTTCTAGTGATGGGCAACACGTACGTAAGAATGTAATATTTTGAGTCAATACATTTCCAATAATCCTGTTTTCATTATTTTGCTTCAATTAGCACATAGAGTTCTTTTGCTAAACTAGTGTACTTTGATTACTTACTGCTGGGCTTTCATTACAATAATTCAATGGTACCCAGACTTTCCCATTGTTACTCAAATCCGATGCGAAAATAAATAGAAAGCGTTATCTGTGCGTACACCGTTAACAACCCGTAGATGGACAAAGATTATTTTACTTGGTTTGATTTTCTTGGTAAATTCAAACAATTTTAGATGTAACGTAGGTAATAATATCAAATACGCCATTCCAATGCGACATTTTGAAATGTTTGCATGTTCCGATAAACCAAATGATCACCTTGTAATCTTAAGTTTGCTCATTAATATGTGTACGAAATCTGCGAGCAAATTGTTTAATGTACTAAATTATCTCTATTTCATAAGAAGTAAATCAAATGTTGATTAATTGCTGCCAGACCTCGCCTTCATGCGATTTAACTGAAAATGACTGCATACAAGCCTGCAAATATTGTCGGCATACTTAGTTGCTAGCCTTGCATTGCGACAACTGGGTGGGTTATTGTTACAATTATTATTGATCTTTCCTTATTCTCATTTATTACTTATTTGCAACGGGAAAATATTAAACAAGTTTTATTATTACGACTCTATTAAATTCTAACCATTTTCTTGCCATTTATCTGCATATGTGGCCGCCATTATTTGTTTTATACAAATTTGATACAAATTGTCACTAAAACTTTATCTGCCATTAAACAATGTTTTAATTACTAAAACGTTTACATTTAAGAACAACAAAATCTTAAGCAATACAAAAATAGCAATCAAAAAAGCGAACTCAAATCTCTTAAAATAGTCAGAATTTAAAATCAACGCTGATTAAAAGTAAAAGTAAACTGCAAATAGATCCCAAATTTAGTGAGATGAAGTCAAAAAAAACCGTATTATTAAAAAGTACACACATTTATGTTCATGTTGTATGTAATATAAATAAAATGCCTTCATCAAAAAGTCACTCAAAAGAGACTTTGTCAGTTAAATTGTCGCACAAAAACTTCTCCATTCACTAACAAGAACGGTTTCCAATCATGAGGCGAATGCCACCCAATTTTCCTGCTGAAGCTACAGATGAAGAACGGAAAAAAGCCAGAGATAGTGTTATTACAAATGTGGCATTATTCGGCATATTTGTGTTGATCATTCGGCTTCTGCCGTTCGCCTTTTTGAATAAAGATAGTTTGGATTCTGGTCCCATAGTGAAAAGCGTTATTAAATCCCGAAAATGTTAGCAATGCTCCAATAAAACTATTCACTTGATGGTTTCCTGACTCTCATTTCATCCTTTTAACCATGTTCATCACCTGTGGTAAGAAATGAATTGTATAACATTTAGACTGCATCGGCTTATTAAAGCTTTATTACTTAACGTTGAGCCAACTTCTTGAATAACAGCACGCCAGCCGAAGTGACCATGTGCAAATTTTACCAAGCTTTTATATACAGGGACTTTCACTTTGTCGGTAAACCGAGTAACAAAAACCATAACGGTCGGACATGGAACATACTGTACAGGTGAACAGGAATTAATGTTGCAAGTTTCTGGTGCAGCATTCTTAAGAGTAAATGGCTTGAACCGGTACTAACGAGTATTTGTCTACTAGTAGGAATGGTGTGAACTGGTATAATAAAACAAATTTTGATTGATCTACTAACAAGATAGATATCAATATAACTGGTATCAAGGCCTCATTAATGTGCGTGAAGCAAGAAGGAACTAAAATGAAGGTAATTACATCAAACTAGCTGCAATAAGATGCTTAAAAGCAGGACGTGTCCTCATTTTTTTTAAAATCTTGCACAGCTGCATAAGCACCAAACCGTGAAGCAATCATTTAGATGCATTCAAGGTATATTCGCGCCCTTTAGTAGGCGTTATGAATCTATTTCAGGACAAAAGTCTTTAAAATGTATAGACAAAATGCTACCACATCTTTGCGGAGGTGAAAGTATGATGATTGATCTAAGTCAAAAGTGGACGGTTTTAAAAATACCTGTCAATGTAAAATAAAAAAAATAAAAAACAATTACTCTTTTTATTGGTAATGCCTATTACTGTGTGAAGGAAATTTTATACGGGCTGTTTTCTAAGTATAAAATATAAATTTACTAATCGGTTTAAGCACATCAGACATGAGAAATCAAATGTTTTAACAGCATTGTTGCGAATCCGTGGCTCATGTGAATCAAAAGGCTTTGTATTTAGTGTTACAATTAACTAATCGCACGTTCTTGAGTCAATCGAAAAAACAATGCCCAGAATTCTACTAATCATTTCAGACATGAATATTTAAAATACTATGAATGAATGAAACTATACTCTTAAAATAACAGAGAATTTTACTGAAAAAATACGCAAGGCAAATCAAACATCACAAAGAGTTTCCAAAGGATTTATTTGCCTTTGCATAAAAAGCCAATTGTTGCTAACATTTAAATCATCCAAATTTTTTTAAACATTTTTAACGTTTTCAAAATATTCTGTTACAGGACTTAAGTTCACTTCAGGACCTTAGAGTTAGCTATATATCACATTCGATTTAGAAAACAAAACACATTACAAAATATCTGGTTGTAGAATTTATGATTTTTTTAAATTTAATTTGAATAGTCTATTTTTGGTTCTCCACATCTCCAAAATACGGTATATAAACGTCCTGTTCCAGAATATAATTCTGAACATTTGCATACATTATATTTCTTATGTTCGTTCATAACAGAGCGAAATCAGATTATTTTGTTTAGTGACACTAAAATTACAATAAGATTTTTTTAAATAGCTTATAATAATAAAAAAGATAACAGGAAACGTTTATAACGAACAAGAACAGCTTATTGCTTAAAATCAGACTTATTGCAATATACTGTTTGTACATAAATATAATTTTATTTATATTTATATTCAATATTATGCAGCCAAATTTCTAATGGAGTTCTATTGCTAGTAAGTAACAAAAATAATGTTTAAATTGTACAGTGTGTCCCATATTCACATACTCAAAATTGTACTGTGACATTCTTTGGCTCAAAAGAAGCCGATCTGACCTACTTTTTACAAAACAAAATATCTGGTTGGGCAAACTTCTTCCAAAAAATATGATTTTTTTGTGATACTTGTAGACTTTCTAGATGGATTTTACTAAAATTTGCAACATATTTTTTGCAACAGTGAGCTCATATTTTCTTGATATAAAAACTTGCATAACTTTTTTTTGGTAGGTGAAAAATTGGCGGAATTAATTAGTTTTTTAATCTAGAATCTGTCAGATATTGCCATGTTCTTTGCAATATATTATAGCATTCATAATTTTTGAAAAAAACCAAAATTTTGCTGTTTTCTTGTTATTTAATAATATCAGATCTTAACATTAAATGTAGTAAGCTATTATGTTTTTTCATAACAAATTAATTGTGAAACTCTTATGAAAGACTGGTCTAATGGAAAAAATGACTATATGGTCAAAGACTTTTGAGTTTAGGAATCCTTAAAGAACAAAATTTACGGCACTCCTGTAGATTTCCAAGAACAATGATTTCGTAGAATTCAAAAAGATACGAGCGTAATACAGAATGGTTCAGAAATGTTAAGTAACACTCAATTCAACTTCAGTCGCTCTATTCACATTTTCATGCAACAAAGAGGATATTGGAATCGATTGTTGATGGGATCTGATTTCATTCGAGAATTGCGTCTTTCTTGAGAACGTGTTTTTATTCATGAAAAATTTCGAAAAATTATTAATGCTTCCACTGAACGAAATAGAAGTTTTTCCCGCTACCCTGTAAAGAGTTCTAGTTATTTTTGGACTAAGACACTCAATAATTTTTCATTTGCCCAAAGCCGACACACATAAGAGATTCATCAAAAACGATAGAAACCGCAAATATCAGCGGCAAGTGTCATTAAAATCAATTGTAACATTCCTCCAATATTACAAGAATATAATTTATTTTAAGGACTTTGTTCATCGAAAAGCCTGAAAAGTTAGGTTTGATCGTTTTCTTTTGACCGAACGAATGCCGCAGTACTTTCCCGATCAGTTGCTTACGGGACATCTTGATGTTTTCAAGATTAAACATATGAAAAGAACCATCAACATACATTCATCAGTGGTTAAAATGAAAATTTAAAACTCAAAAAATGCGGAATGTCCAGTATATTTAATACATTTGGAATACTGAGATATAAACGTATTCAAAACGATGCCTTTATGAAATAATTTGTTAGTAAATAATATTAGTCAATTATTGTAAACAGCATTTGTAATTTTGAACAGAACACACGTGCACCGAAAAATACATGTCGTCTGGTAACTTGTGCTAGTCAGTAGAGACAGCAGTCCCACATTTTGGAATAAAATATTAACGGTTGGATTGGCCAGTTGGAGGGCTCTGTTGTTTCGTCATGTAAGATTAAGAAATTCTCATCAAATTAATTAGCAGATAAGGGCAAAGTTCCAGATCGGAAGAACCTGGCAATTCTGAACTCCTGAATTGCTCATAATTAAAGCATTATTAATTAACTAAGTCTTCGGAAACAAGATAAAACATTTAAACTTTAAAACGGCCAAATGAAAAAGAATATGTCCACTTGCAGCAGAGTATATATTCAAATTGCCGAAACACATTAAAGAAGATAAATCGCAAAGTATAGTTAACAGATTTTTTATTCTTTGAGCCAAATATTTTCTTTGTAATGTCTATATTTATGTAGGTATATAAACAAAAATTCTACTTATTGTAGAAGAACGACGCACGTAGGCACTGTGGCAACCCGCTATTTATAATACTAATTACAAAAGATAATATAAACATTTATACAAAACAGAAAAAATTAAATATCTGTTGTAACTTCTAAATTAAATCTGGATATACGCGGTGCTCAAACTATGTGGAATAAAGCTGTATCTTTCACCAGAGGCATGAGGGTCTTGATGCGTAACGAGGACTTATGAATAAAATTGGTGTTTTATCACTATTGAGTAATAACTCAGAGCTGAATTGTTTCGTATTATATACCTTCAAACTCATAATAAGCGAGCTTATCAAGTTAATTTAATAACTTTGAAAAATTGTTATAACGTATTTTCCTCGTAACGGCAATCGTGGCTAGACCTAATTAATGCGATCGCTTTAGGCACGGCACAATGGGGCGTATTTATAAAATGAAGTATTAAGTAACTGATCTAGAAACAGTGATCTACAAAATACATAACCGTTTGCCCTGATTATGGGTTACAGCCGACCACCTGACATTTTATTCTATATATTTTTAAAATTCTTAATAATGCTGAGTAATAATTGAGACGTACTTCAGCTTTAACTATGCCTTTGCCAAATTATTATTGGGCGAAGCATTAATAAATCAGATCTGAATTTGGTATTCGCTTTATATGGCATATCAGCTCGCCAGGCCATTACAACACAAAATACAAGTCGATTAATCTTGACAGAAACTGGTCAATTTATAAAATTGTTACGCTCATGACCATACCATATATAGTTGTCGGAACAGCAGTATGTACAAGAAACCATGGTGCGACTAGGAAGCAGACCGCAATTCCAATATAGGGCTTTATTACGCCAGACGAGGTCAGTAGACTATAAAGGCCTGTACTATTTTGACGATAAACCATAAAAAGACAATAAAGTACAGGTATTTGTCCCAAGAATATAAAAAACATTTCGTTTTATTTTAAGGCAAATATTTAGTAAAATCAGTTTTAACAATTTATTATATCTTGTCAGTACATTTGCATTCCTCTACCCACAAAACCAATCGGAAATTGTTAGCGTTGATCTATTTAAGATTTAAGTGATCGTTTCTTGATCGTTCTCCTTGAATTCGAACAAGCTATTTTGCAACAACCGCCTATTTGAATAATGGGTTTCTTGTATTATACCAGCAGAATTATTTGCAATAATGGTGTTTGTTTCGTTATGCCATATGACTTTAAATTTAGGTTTCAACAAAAGTAATGTATTTTCAGAAAAAAATGCTAACTATAGCCAATCTAGGAAAAGTTTACTTTCGAATAATTTTTGAAATGGCCCAGCTAATTAACAAGATTTTAAACTGAACTTAGAAAATATTTAAATTCCAAAATGGCTTCAAACGTTCAGAAATTCGCCTAAAAAACTGCAAACAACGACAGTAAGCATGATTTATTTTCTGAGGATTCTCCTCAAATCATATGT